ACTGCGCCATGTGCCCGTCTCCACCTTTGTGATTTCTGGTGCCCTGAGTGTGGCAGAAGGCACCCTGAGTGACAGCGCAGTTACTGAAAACCGTAGACCGCAGGATCAGCGGAGAAATGGGCGTCTCATCTCGTGGCCGTCCCTGGGAAGGTCACTTAGGGTGAGTCCACTGGGAGAGACCGATCACTGTGTGGTTCAGAACCTGGACTGGAGGCTTTGCAGCCAGCCGGGACTGGGGTCAGAACTCGTTCCACCGCCCACGATAAAGCTTAGGCCCGACACCTGGCGTGGAGAGGCCCCACAGCGCCCTCTCCTGCCTCGGGCCTTGGCTGTGTGGCCACCCGACCTCCCCAGGTGGTATCTGCAGTCCGTGTGTGGGGCCAGACCTCCCAGTGTGTGCCTGCTACGTGTGGGATTCTCCTGCGCTTCCACTTGGTGATGCTCGTTCTGGGTATTTTAATGCCAAGAGTGGGATACAATCCTGTGCCAAAGTTGGCTCTGCAACATCCAGTTTGGATTCTTGTTCTGCGGTTTTATCAGCCCTACAGCTTGGGGAAAGTCTCTTTACCTCTTGGAATCCCTTCTGTGTCTGTAAATGAGGGGAGTGGGCTGTGTGATGCTGCGGTTGCTCCTTTCCTGCCCGGACACTGCCCAGGTCATAGATAGTCTGCTCAGCAGTTTTAAAACCTTAATTTGGGATCCTGGCCATTTATTCCAAAATTGCGTTTTAAGAATTTACAAATTAGGAAATAATCACACACAAAGATGTATATACAGAGATACAAGAATACCCATGAAAACATTCCTGGATGAGCGTTGTGGCGCATCCATATGAGACATCCCCTGTCAGCGTGCCTGGCGTCCAGTCCCCCTCTGCTTCCCATCCAGCTTCTGCTCATGCATCTGGGAGGCAGGAGACGATGGCTCAAAATGCTTGGGGCTGGCCGGCACCATGGCTCACTTGGCTAATCCTCTGCCTGCGGCCCCGGCACCCTGGGTTCTAGTCCCGGTTGCTCCTCTTCCAGTCCAGCTCTCTGCTGTGGCCCAGGAGGGCAGTGGAAGATGGCCCAAGTGGTTGGGTCCTGCACCCACGTGGGAAACTGGGAGGAAACACCTGGCTCCTGGCTTCGGATCGGCGCAGCGCCGGCCGTAGCAGCCATTAGGGGAGTGAACCAATGGAAGGAAGACCTTTGTCTGTCTCTCTCTCACTGTCTATAACTCTCTCTGTGTGTCTCTCTCTCTTACTGTCTAACTCTGCCTGTCAAAAAAAAAAAAAAAAAAAATGCTTGGGCCTTTGCCACCCATGTGGGAGACTTGGATTGAGTTCTGGGCTCCTGGCTTCAGATCCCTCTGCCTCTCCCTTTCTTTCTATCAGTCTGCCTTTCAAATAAATTAATTAATTAATTAATTAAACTTATAAAAAAGATTTATTTATTTGAAAGGTAGAGTGTCAGAGAGAGAGGGAGACAGAGAAAGGTCTTCCATCCTCTGGTTCACTCCCCAAGTGGCCACAATGGCCGGAGCTGGGCCGAGCCAAAGCCAAGAGGCAGGAGCTTCTTCTGAGTCTCCCACATGGGTGCAGGGGCCCAAGCACTTGGGCCATCTTCTGCTGCTTTCCCAGGTGCATTAGCAGGAAGCTGGATCGGAAGTGGAGCAGCCCGGTCATGAACTGGCGTCCAGATGGGCTGCTGGTGCCACAGGTGGTGCCCTTTCCTGCTTATGCCACAGCACCGGCCCCTTAAAAAATGTATAATAGTGAAGGCCAAAGGCAACTTTTGATATTGTGGTTTACAATAAGAAACATATCTATGTTGATGTTTATTCCCAACCCCTGGCGCAGACTCCTCCACCCCCGTAATTCCGGAGCAGTAGGTATACTAAGAGAACCTCTCCTCCTAGCCGTCTTTGACCTGGGGAAGACACAGAGCTGCTAATCCCTTAGAGGTCCCTGGGTCTTTTGTTCTAATGAGAAAACCCTGAAGGGGCTGCCGGGCAGGGGGCTGGTCACAGACCAGATGGGGTTGAAGCTCGGACATTTCAGCCCCGCGATCACAGCCAGAGGTTGAAGCTCCCATCAGAATCCCTGAGCTGGGGGCTGGCCTGTGGCACAGTGGTTAAGCCTCCCGTGACGCTGGCATCCGTAGTGGAGCACCAGTTCAGGTCGCAGCCACCCTGCTTCTGCTAGGGTGCTTGGGAGGGCGGCTGATGATAGCCCAAGTACTGGCCCTGCTACCCACACGGGAGACCAGGGTGACGTTCCTGGCTCCTGGCCCAGTGCTGGCCATTGTAGCCATTTGGGAGTGAACCAGCAGCTGGAAGATCTCTCCATGTCACTCTGCTTTTCAAATAAATAAATCCTAAAAACTGCTGGGCCCAAGAGCTTCTGGGTTGCTGAACACAGACATGGAGGTGTGTGGCGAGCGATAAGCCCAGAGAGGGCCTGGAAGTGCCACTCCCCTTCCCGCGTGCCTTGCCCGCTGCATCCCTTCTGGTACATTGGTAAGGGTCGGTAGTGTCTCCTTGAGCTCCTTCCCCAAGAAGGAGTCATGGGAAGCCTTGATGTGTAACCAGTGAGTGGGTTACAAGCGTAATCACCAGCTGGGATTGGGATTGGCATCAGAAGTGGGGGCTGTCTGTGGCCTGACCCCCGCCCTCTTCCTCCAGAGAGAGAGTGTCAGGATGGAATTGGATTAGAGGATACGCCCCTACTGTCTGCTGGAGGATTTCCTGGGGTAGGGGCGGCCCCAGCACGTCTGATACCAGCAGTGAAGTGTTAGTTGAGTGTGAGCGTAGCCAGCCCTTTGGCTTTGGCCTTCTCACCTCAGCGTGCAGCAGCAAAGAGCTGCTTGAACAGGCGGATGCCAGGGAGCCCTCGTGTGTGCCAGGCTGTGCTGTGGTGCTGGGGACACGTCAGTGATCCAAAGTTCCCTGCCCTCGCGTTCTAGAAGAGGAAGACACACAGTAAACAATCAACAGGAAAGGGACGTGGGGTGCAGTGTGGGAGGAGAAGGTGAGCAGTGCGGAGACTCCGAGCCCTGGCAGTGAGGTGCCGTGGTGGGCCAGGACTTGAAGTTGGTGAAGGAGTCAAGAAGATGCGCAGGCCAGGCAGAAGGGATGGCCAGTGCCAAGGCCCTGAGGCAGGCAGGAGAGCAAGGATTGCTGGAGGCCAGAGCCGGCTGAGTGTGAGGAGTCGGAGAAGGGGGGAGCAGAGGGGACCAGAGATCAAGTCACCAAAGGTCTTGTTGTTTCTGAGCGAAGCGGCTAACACTTGCCAGGGTTGGGCAGAGGAGTGACGTGATCCGTGTTTATATTTTAGAAGGAACAGTCAGGCCACAGTGTTTCAAATGTTGGGGACAAGGAGAAACAGGGAAACCATTAGGAGTCACGGCAACCCAGGCAAGAGGGACAAGACAACTCAGAGAGGAAAGCAGAGGCCAGCATCGTGGCACAGAGGGTTAACCTGCCGCTTGTGATGCCAGCATCCCCTGTGAGCGCCGATTCGAGTCCTGGCTGCTCCACTTCCCATCCAGCTCCCTGTGAGTTCTCCTGAGAGAGCAGCAAATGATGACCCAAGTGCTTGGACCCCTGCCAGCCAGATGGGAGAGCCGGATGCAGTCCCAGGCCTGAGTATTGCGACCATCTGGGGAGTGAACACAGGTGGAAGATCTCTCTTTCTCTCCCTCTATGTCTCCCCTTCTCTAACTCTCCCTTTCAAATAAGCCTTTTTAAAAATGGAAATGATAAAAAGCAGTCAAATGCCAAGTGTTTTCTGAAGAGAGAACCAGTGGACTTGCTGAAAGATGGGATATGGGGTACGAGACGCACGAGAAGTCAAGGAAACCTGAAGACTTCTGACCTGAGTAAGGGGAGGATGGAGCTGCCGTCAGCGCAGAGGCGTGGAATGGGCCTGTGGGAAGAGATCAGGGGTTCATTTTCGGAAATATTAGGCTTGAAAAGTCCGTTAGACATCCAAAAGGAAGTGCGTATCCGTTGGCTATTTGTGTAATGTCTCCAGTCGTTGGCAGAGTGATTGGCCCCCTAGATTTATTGTGTGTATGAAAGGACAAGCAAAGGTATTCAGGTGTCAAGTGATGTGAGTCTCAAATGATGCCGTGTTATTTTCTGTACTTGTGTGTACATACACACATTTGTGTCAGAAAAGGAACAGATACCAAAATGTTAACAGTGGTCATACGGGATATAGATTTTTTTTCCCCCCAAAGATTTATTTATTTATTTATTTGAAAGGCAGAGTTACAGAGAAGGAGGGACAGAGAGATCTTCCATCTGCTGGTTCACTCCCCAAATGACCTACATGGCCAAGGCTAAGCTGGGCCAGGCCAGAGCCGGGAGCTTCATCCAGGTCTCCCACGTGGGTGCCGGGGCCCAAGCACGTGGGCCGTCCTCAGCTGCTTTCCCAGGCCATTAGCAGGGAGCTGGATCAGAAGTGGAGCAGCCAGGACTCTGGCACCCGTGTGGGATGCCAGCGTTGCAGATAGCAGCTTAACCACTGCACCACAGTGCTGGCTCCAGGATGTGGGCTCTTTACGGATTTTCACTTAATTTCTTCCTCATTTTTGAAAATCGTATTTTCCAATATCTGTTGAAAGTAATCGTATAAAATGTAGACATGGTCCCGAGGGTGAGAAGGCCGACTACCTCCTGTCCGCTGATAAACCCCAGCTCTCTCAGCCACGGCTGTTACTGGATCCGTAGGCTGCGTATAGCTGCTTGTTTCTTTATGAATTGGAATGCTGTGTCTTACAGTATTTCCTCTTAGCCTATTCCCAAAATTTGAAGTCACAGGCTAAAAGAAAGAACTATAACTCTTCTTTGCACCAGCTTGAACAATCTAGAATTCCAGCGGTGAGCCAAGGCTCCCACAGGCTACTTGGAAGGCTGTCCTCGCCTCCTGCGTCGGGGTTTTAACCTCACAGCAAAAAATGTTCTCCAGTTGCTGTGGGGGCATAAAAAGTGTGCATGTCTTCTGCACTTTTCAGGTGTGGGAATCGGCGTGGTCCACGCTGGGTATGAGAGACGCCTGGCGCATCACCTGGGGGCACACAGCACACCCTCTATCCTGGGAATCATAAATGGGAAAATCTCCTTCTTCCACAACGCAGTTGTCCGCGAGAACCTACGGCAGTTTGTCGAGAGTCTTCTTCCAGGGAACTTGGTGGAGAAAGTGAGTACCTGCCCAGGAGACGGGACAGAGGGGCATCGGGGAGGTGCCTGGCTCTGGCTGCCCAGAACTTGTGTGTGGTCCTCTCAGACCTGGGTCTCACTCTGAGCAAGGCAAGCCACGTGTTAGTTAGCTAACCACTCAAACCAAATGTTGTTTTTCTAAACCAAATAACTTAAGTGAAGTCTGTAAGAGACTGAAGTTTGAAATAGATGGAGTACAGAGACCGAGAGAACTCATTCCTGGGAACCCTCTTGTGGGTTTTACCCTGACTTCAGAAACTGTGCCTAAAATGACAATGACCATTTTCTAAACAACGTGAGATCACATGGGGGTTGAAGGATTTCTTTCTAGGTCATGAAGTTGTTCGTGGGAAGACATTTGTCTTACGATAATATTCAAGTTAAATTAGATTTGGTGATATATTCAATGATCAGGGACTAGTATTAGGTACAGCAGGTTAGGCTGCTGCTTGCGACTCTGGCACCCCCGTATCAGAGTGCCCACTGGAGTCCCGGCTGCTCCACGTCCGATCCAGCTCCTGCTAGTGCACCTGGGAAGGCAGCAGAAAATGGCCTAGGTATTTGGGTATTTGGCCCCTTCCACCCTTATGGGAGACCAAGATGGGACTCCTGGCTCCTGATTCAGCCTGCCACAAAGCTGGCTGTTGCAGCCACCTGGGCAGTGAACCAGCAGATGGAGGACCTCTCTCCCTCTGTGTCTGTGTCGCTCTTTCAGATCAATAAATAAGTGTTCAAAAATATATTTAATGATCATATCATAGAAAACATCAGCCTCCATGAAAGTAAATATTTTGGGAACTTTAAAAACTTGGGGTGACACAGCAGTAAGAAGCTAAAGTAAGCAGTAAGAGCTAAAGAAGCGAGACGTGTTCGAGTTCACGCTAGTTTGTGGTTTCTACATTTAAGCCCCCAATAATTTTTGTCTGGTATCTTTGGTTAGGGATCAAAGTAACTGGGAAAAGGCTCTCATTTTGCTTTAAATCATTCAGTGTTTTAACAAAACCAAGGAAAGTGAACATGTAAAACTTTCTATCCTGTTTCTGTATTCAGGATTCATAGACTGAGACATTAGCTACTAAAGAAATAGGTGGTACTTCAGAGAGTTTGCAGGAAAATAAATAGGTTTCTCATGGTGTAAAGAAGTGTTGGGTCCTTGCCTGAGTGGGCTTGAGAAAGTTCATTAAAAGGAAACCACTGAAATGGATCTCAGAAATTTTTGGCACCAAATTGACTTATTTGAGGACCCCTGCATTTTGCTGGCGTCTGCTTAGAAGGTCAGAGTATTGTAGGTTCCTAAAATGATGACAGGCGTTCCGATCGGCCCTCGGGCACCTACAGACAATCTGGTCAGTGCGGGCACAAGGTCACTGAAGTGTTGGGGACACTTTTCCAGCAGCTTCCGGGCAGGGAGTGGCTGTTTCCACCCAGTATGTTGGAGCCCATCCCGGAGGGCAGGGGAAGGCTTCCTGTGAGTTTTCCAGGTGAGGAGAGGGGAGAGCGAGGACTGGAGACCTGAGACACCTGCTTCGGGTGAAGCAGTCATTGGCGAGCCACGGAGTCTGGGCTTAACGGGGTTAACAGGACTCTCACCGCAAGGGCTCAGAGCACCTCCGCGCCCCTTAAGAACGTGGACCTGGGCCTGGAGGTGCTGGAGCCACTGCACAGGTGTGAGCGGAGGACTGATAGTTAAGCTTTTGAACTATGGAAAATTTCCACCACAGCTTTAATTTGTGCATTTTCTTAAGTTGTTTTCTCCAAAGAACAAAAATAGGGGAAAAGTAATGATTCAGATGGCAATAAATAATTAACACGCAGATGGGAGGGGCTCCCTTTTATCGAAGCCATTTCAGCAGGGCAGGTGTTGCGTCATCTTCGGCAGGTGAGCAGATTAAGAAGTGCCGGCTGATTAAGCAAGAGCCAACTCCAGAAGCTCAGCTTTGTTAAAAAAGATTTTATTTGTTTATTTGAGAGGTAGAGTTACAGACAGTGAGAGGGAGAGACAGAGAGAAAGGTCTTCCTTCCGTTGGTTCACTCCCCTAATGGCCGCAACGGCTGGAGCTATGCTGATCCGAAGCCAGGAGCCAGGTGCTTCCTCCTGGTCTCCCATGGGGTGCAGGGGCCCAGGCACTTGGGCCATCTTCTACTACCTTCCCAGGCCACAGCAGAGAGCTGGACTGGAAGAGGAGCAGCCGGGACTAGAACCGGCACCCACATGGGATGCTGGCACTGCAGGCAGAGGATTGACCTACTGAGCCACAGCGCCAGCCCCAGAAGCTCAGCTTCTATAGTGTGGTCATAACTGCTCCAGACAGGATTATGGTTGCAGTCACAAGAGTTGAGACAAATGAAACTAAGGAATCCATATCTGTTCCTTTAATAGTCAAATAAAGACATAAAAATAATCTGCAAGCAACTTCTTACACATATTTGATTTGTTTACTTAACTCCTGATTGGAGGGTAGTATGATTACTAAGAATTAACTACCAACGCTAAACTAACATTCTGTTTTCACTTTAAGGTGACCAACAAAAATTATGTGCGATTTCTCTCTGGCTGGCAGCAGGAGAATAAGCCACACGTCCTTCTGTTTGACCAGGTGCCCACTGTGCCACTGCTGTACAAGGTACAACATGGCGGCAGGCCGTTTTCTCGTCTTTTCATAAAAAGTCATCTCGACTGGGAGTGTGTAACCTGTTCGTCTTGTTTTGTTGTTGAGTGTCTCTGATACAAGCATCCGGAACCTGAAATGCTCCAAACTGTGAAACTCCCTGAGCATCGACGCGATGCTTACGTGGAAAATTCCACACCGGACAGCTGCTCGGGGTCAGATCTCGGGCACTCTAAAAATATTGTTTGAGATCGTCTTCAGCCTATTTGAAACATAAATGAATTTTGTGTTGAAACTGGGGCGCCGTCCCCAAGACTTCTCATTATGTATAAGGACATGTTCCTAAGTTGAAATGCTGCATTCCCGTGTGTTCTGTGTCAGGGACCCTCAGCCTGTGCCAGCATCCCCCCCAGTGCAGAGCTCAGTGAGCTGAGTATTTTGCTTTATCTATAAAAAAAAAAGAATGAGTTGTATTCACCTTGGTTGATACCGTTTTTGTGCTTGGAACACCGTTAGACTCCGGGAAGTACACAAGGGTACAGAGGCCCTGGCGGGGCCGTGGGAGCTGGCACTCACCTCCACCTGTGGATGTGAACGAGCGAGTTAGATGCTGCGCCCTCAGTCTCATTTTCTCCCCTCTGTTGTGCCCTCACAGTTGACTGCTTTCGCGTACAAAGACTATTTATCGTTTGGATATGTGTGTGTGGGTGTGAGAGGGGCAGAAGAGATGACAAGGCAGCTGAACATCAATGTCTATGCCCCCACCATCTTGATCTTTAAAGAACACATAAACCAGCCCGCCGATGTCATCCAGGTACGTGCCGGCCCCTGTGCTCCAAGATTTCCTCCCTCCGTGTTGTAGCTCGTCTTCACGGAAAGCAAACAGCAGAATGGAACAGAGCAGGTGAGAGCGTGAGAAGAAACTAGTTCTCGGTCTTGGTGATATTTTGCTGTAAAAAATGTCTTTTACCTCTCATGTGCTCCTATTGGAAATCAACAGTCTTTTTCCAAGATGAATTACAAAAAATGAATTTAAAATCTAAATGTAGGGACAAGAGTTGTGGTGCAGCAGGCTACGCTGTCACTTGAGGTGCGGTGCCTGCATCTCACGTCACAGGGCCTGGCTCAAGCTGCATCCTGTGCTTCTGACCCAGCTTCCTGCTAACGCACCCGGAGGCAGCAGCTGAGGGCCCAAGTATTTGAGTCCCTGGGAGACCCAGACAGAGGTCCTGGCTCCTGGCGTTAGCCTGGCCCAACCCCAGCTGTTGCAGTCATTTGGAGAGTGAGCCAGCAGATGGAAGATCTCTCTCTCTCTGTATCTCCCCCTACTTCTCTCTCTGTAACTCTACCTTTCAAATAAAATTTTTTTAAAAGGTTAAATGTAAAGCAGTAATGAAAAAGAGTAAGAATAAACCACAAACTAACTGAACAAGCACATAGAGGAGTATATGATCTTTTTTTTTTTTTTAAGGTTTTATTTATTTATTTTAAAGGCAGAGTTACAGAGAGGCAGAGAAAGAGAGAGAGGTCTTCCATCTGCTGGTTCATTCCCCAAATGGTCACAAAGGCCAGAGCTCAGCTGATCAGGAGCCAGGAGCTTCTTCTGGGTCTCCCACGTGGGTACAGGGGCCCAAGGACTTGGGCCATCCTCCACTGCTTTCTCGGGTCATAGAGAGCTGGATCCGAAGTGGAGCAGCCAGGACTTGAACCAGAGCCCACCTGGGATGGCAGCACTGCAGGCAGCAGCTTTACACATTCTGCCACAGCGCCGGCCCCAAGTATATGATCTTAAGGTGGAAGGTCTAAAAGGACTGGGAAAAATTTTACTGGAAAATCTTAATAATTTGATTATAAGTGTTACGTTTTTCTATAAATATTTTAAAATTTAAAGTTAAAAATTGAAATGTAATTTCTGAAGTTTTGCCTTTTTTTTTTTTTTTTGAGAGAGAGAAAGGGAATTACAGAGAGGGAGAGAGAAAGAGAAAGGTTTTCCGTCCTCTGGTTCACTCACTAAATGGCCATAACAGCCAGAGCTGGGCCAATCCGAAGCCAGGAGCCAGGAGCTTCTTTTGAGTCTCCCACGTGCGTGCAGGCGCCCAAGGACTTGGACTATCCTCCACTGCTCTCCCAGGCCATAGAGAGCTGGATCTGAAGTGGAGCAGCCAAGACTTGAACCAGCACCCACATGGGATGGCGGCACCACAGGTGGAGGCTTAGCCTACTGCGCCACAGTGCCAGTCCCTAAAGTGCTCCTTTTGATAAAGATCAGTGCAAAATTCTAAAAAGGAATTCAAAGGACTGATAAACCTTTTTAAGATTTAAATCTCGCTAATACCCAGAGAAAGGAAAAGTTAACATTTTTTTTATCACCCATCAAATTGTGTTTGGCAGTGTTCAGAACGTACAGAAAAAAAAGCCTTCTCTGTGCCTTGCTGGACTTTGAGTTGTGAGCACTGCTGGTTGCCCATTCTGTGCCAGGCCCTGCTCTGGGGCCAGAGGGCAGCAGTCCCTGCCCTGGGTCCTGCTTGGGAACTGTCTGCTCCGGGGCGGGCATTTAGCCTGGCAGCCGAGATGCCACATCCCACGTCAGACAGGCTGGGTGCTGTTCCCGGCTCCACCTCCTGCCGCCAGCCTCCCACGGAAGCAGACCCTGGGAGGCAGCGGTGACGGCTGAAGTGCCTGGGCTCCTGCCACCCAGCTTCAGCCCCCCCACTTCAGGCATTTGGGGAATGAACAGCTGTGGGGCACTCTCTGCTTTTATCTCCTCTTCTCTATCTTCTCTGCCTCTCAAATAAATTTTAAAAATGTTAAATATACATATCAAAATATTAGTAATTATCTTAATGGTAAATTATATAGTTATAAAATATGCTTTTTTTTTTTTTTTGACAGGCAGAGTGGACAGTGAGAGAGACAGAGAGAAAGGTCTTCCTTTTGCCGTTGGTTCACCCTCCAATGGCCGCCACGGCCGGCGCGCTGCAGCCAGCGCACCGCGCTGATCCGATGGCAGGAGCCAGGATCCAGGTGCTTTTTCCTGGTCTCCCATGGGGTGCAGGGCCCAAGCACCTGGGCCATCCTCCACTGCACTCCCTGGCCACAGCAGAGGGCTGGCCTGGAAGAGGGGCAACCGGGACAGAATCCAGCGCCCTGACCGGGACTAGAACCCGGTGTGCCGGCGCCGCTAGGCGGAGGATTAGCCTAATGAGCCGCGGCGCCGGTCTAAAATATGCATTTTCTAAAATCCCTTTAATGAACATATTATTTTATATTTTTTAACATTAAAATCAGCAAGGACCCTTTGGCGCTCCCTCGCCTAAGGGAGGCTAGAGTGAGAAGTTCTATAAAATCCTGTGTGTCAGTCCCCCAGTGATCATTTCGGTGCCTGCCGACTCTGTAATCAAGACAGAGAAGCCCGGCCGGCGCCGCGGCTCACTAGGCTAATCCTCCACCTTGCAGCGCTGGCACCCCGGGTTCTAGTCCCAGTCAGGGCACCTGATTCTGTCCCGGTTGCCCCTCTTCCAGGCTAGCTCTCTGCTGTGGCCCGGGAGAGCAGTGGAGGATGGCCCAGTGCTTAGGCCCTGCACCCGCATGGGAGACCAGGAGAAGCACCTGGCCCCTGGCTTCGAATTAGCGTGGTGCACCAGCCGCAGCGGCCATTGGAGGGTGAACCAACGGTAAAGGAAGACCTTTCTCTCTGTCTGTCTCTCTCTCTCACTGTCCACTCTGCCTGTCAAAAAAAAAGACAGAGAAACCCTGCACCTCTGTCGTCCAGGGGTAGTCTTTGCCTCCAGCAATTCACTCGCGAGATCTTTAGGAAGACAGTAATCAGTTCAGCTCGGGACATGATGAGTTAGAGGGAGCCCTGTAGGAAACTTCAGAGGCATTGTTTTTCGGCAGTTGGGTGTAGGAACCTAGGAAGGGCACGTAGAGTGGGGACAGGTTGCTGGATCATCAGTTATGGGCAGCAGTTCAGAGTCCTGAGGACTGATGCGATCTCCCAGGAATAGCATGGGAAGGAAAGAGCAAGAGGACCAAGGACAGAACCCGGGCAACCACCAGCAGGTGGAAGGAGGGCTGTGCGATGGAGACCGAGAAGGAGCGCAGGGAGTCGGTGGACGAGATGACCTCAACCCAGGGGTCATGAGTGAGGAACTGGGAACTGCCTTTAAGTAACAGTTTATAATATTTTTTAATATTTATTTATTTACTTGAGAGAGAGAGTTACAGAGAGAGGTGTTCCATCTGCTGGGTCAGAGCTTTGCCGATCTGAAGCCAGGAGCCAGAAGCTTCTTTCAGGTCTCCCACGCAGATGCAGGGGCCCAAGCACTTGGGCCATCTTCCACTGCTTTTCCAGGCCATAGCAGAGAGCTGCAGCCAGGACTCGAAGCGGTGCCTATATGGGATGCCGGCACCGCAGGCAGAGGCTTAGCCCACTACGCCACAGCATCAGCCCCCAACAGTTTGTAATCTTGAGAATTGTATTAATTTACCTCCTGAGGGAAATTGTAAGTCAAATGCATGTACAAAATCACTGGGTCTTTATGTATATAAAAACGCACACTTAACATAAGCCACATTTCCCCAGAGGCACCAGCTTCGTGTAACACTGGAAGCACCAGCTGTTTCCTTTAGCTCTAGACAGTTTGTCCTCAGCAGCGGGCAGCTAGACCCAGGAGCCAGTCAGGTATTAAACCCAGGTACTCCAAGGAGGGATGCAGGTGTCCCGGCCGGCTCACTGACTGCCTGGCCACACGCCTGCCCCAGGAGGGTTGATTTAGCAGCTTTGTCGGATAACTGGGAATATTATGCTTGCCGCTGTGCCCAGACTCAATAAATAGTAGTGTCTTAAAGATTATCTGCTATGTGGATTCAGTGAACTTCTAGTATCTTGTTAAATTAAGAACTACCTTATGCTTACAAGAAATCTTTTATTCATGCCGGATTTTGTAATATCATGCACTGGACACTTGGAAACATTCCACTGACGTTTCAGTGTTGACAGATTTCATTATCCCCGTATATAAAAGTAAGGATCACATCACATTGATGAACCAATCTTAGAAAGCTTTGAGAAGCTGTCAAGCTTACAATGACCAATAGAAATTTTTTAAAAGTCTTAATTTTTTGGAAGCCTGGATTTTGTCATAAGCAACAAATACCATCAGTTTTTGTTTGTTTTTTTTTTTTTTTTAAGATTTATTTATTTATTTGAAAGTCAGAGTTACACAGAGAGGAGAGGCAGAGACAGAGAGGTCTTCCATCCTATGGTTCACTCCCCAAATGGCCACAACGGCCAGACCTGCGCTGATCCCACACCAGGAGCCAGGAGCTTCTTCTGGGTCTTTCATGTGGGTGCAGGGGCCCAAGGACTTGGGCATATTCTACTGCTATCCTAGGCCATAGCAGAGAGCTGGATAGAAAGTGGAGCAGCCAGGTCTCAAACCGGCACCCATATGGGATGCCTGCGCTTCAGGCCAGGGCGTTAACCCGCTATTCCACAGCACCAGCCCCTAACAGTTCTTCTTAAAGTGCCAGGGTCACACCGTTCATATCTAAGAAAATGTGCCAGACGCCCAGGTCACGAGGTTGTTATTCCAAGTGAAAATGAGGCTCCGTTTAGGAGAGTGGTTAGTGTGAAGCTCCCCAGGTAAGCACTGTGCTCAGGGCGCCCAATAAACTTCTGTGTAATTTCCTTTTCCCATGGACTTTTTGAAGGCCCCTTGTACGTCACCGCACGGTGCATTGTAGCAGGTATGACAATTCCCCCATCTTCCCTGTGAAGCAGACATTAAGGAAATTTATAAAAACGTCAAACAGCACTGCTCAGCTCACTAACTGTTTTTGGGTTGGGAAAGTACTCTTAGTTTAAAATTATTTTTGTGAACATATCTGAGTTTTGCTTATTTTTAAATGAATTTTTAAAATTTCTCATTGATCTAACAATATCAGCAGAAAAGCCACATAAGCACAAACTCTTTGGGATCCTCCATAAATATTATTTATCTGATTATTTATTTTTATATTTGAAAGGCAGAGTGATAGAGGGAGAGACATCTGCTGGTTCACTCCCCAAATGACTGCAACAGCCCAGGCTGGGCCAGACTGAAGCCAGGAGCCAGGAACTCTATCCTGGTCTCCATGTCGTAGCAGGCACACAAGTATTTAGGCCATGATCCGCTGCCTTCCCAGGTGCAGGAGCAGGGAGCTGGATTAGAATTGGAGTAGGGGCCGCACTCTGGCGTAGCGGGTTAAGCACCGCCTGTGGTGCCAGCATCCTGTATGGGCAGGAGTTCATGTCCCTGGCTGCCCCACTTCTGATCACAGCCTCTTGCTAACGTGCCTGAGAAAGCAGAAGGTGGCCCAAGTGTTTTGGCCCCTGCACCCACACAGGGGACCTGGAGGAAGCTCCTGGCTCCTGGCTCCTGGCTCCTGGCTCCTGGCTCTGGCCGTTGTGGCCCTTTGGGGAGTGAACTAGCAGATGGAAGATTTCTCTGTCTCTTCCTCTCTCTCTGTAACTCTCCCTTTCAAATAAAGAAATCAGTCTTAAAAAAAAAAAAAAAAAAGAAGTGGAGTAGCTGTTGGGAACAGTGCAGGGCTCCCACCTGAGTCGCAAGAACTGTTACTTGTGGTCACCTGCTGCCCCGCAGGCTCTGTTAGCAGGAAGCTGGCACAGGAACCAAACGGAAACGAGCGTCTTAACTTGCAGACTAAATGTTCTCCCAGGAGTTTGTCTGAAGGCCCCTCACGGGCGTGGATTTCAACATTATTTTCTACCAAAATAAATGTGTCTCTTAATTCCAAAAAAAAAAGCAGTGGAGTAGCTGAAGCTTGAACTAGCACTCCGGCTTAACCCACTGTGCCCCAACACCGCCCAGGCTTGCTTCTTGGGTCAGTGAGTAACTTAAATTGTGTTTCTTGATTTCAAATGTAAAGGAAAATGCACACATTTCTGGTTTATATTTTATATTGAGTTCTACATTAATGACACTGGTCAGAGAATCTGTTTTATATAAATAGAAATTCAATTCTGCAAAATGCATGAAAGTCATAATAAAATGATCATCCTACAGTTTAGTGGCTTGCTTTTTATACTGAGTGACATTATCACTTTGGGGTTTATTCTTCATTGTGCAGTTTGCTACAAATCCGGAATATGTTTGCCTGAAATTCAGAATGATTGACATTTCAGATCTGTTAGGGTGTCGTTACTTTCCGCCCTGCGTCATTGAGGTGGGGCACCTCGGGCCTGTTTGCAGACACGGTGTCTCACTTGCGTGTATGTAGCCAGGGTCGTTCCCACCTTTATGCTGCGTGCGAGGAGGCCCACCTGAGTGGGAGCACTGAGTGAACCGCTGCTCCTTGGTTTGCAGGCCCGAGGCATGAAGAAGCAGGCCCTCGAGGACTTCCTCGCCCGGAACAAGTACCTGCTGGCGGCCCGGCTCACCAGCCAGAAGCTCTTCCACGAGCTGTGCCCCGTGAAGCGCTCGCACCGGCAGCGCAAGTAAGGCCCAGGCGCGGCCCTGCTGCTCCCCGCGTGGAGGGCGCGGCCCTGCTGCTCCCCGCGTGGAGGGCACGGCCTGCTGCTCCCCGCGTGGAGGGCGCGGCCCTGCTGCTCCCCGCGTGGAGGGCGCCGGCCCTGCCTGTGGCAGATTCCACTCCTGAGTCATTGATTGCAGCTGTGACGTAGGGGGGTGTACAAATCCAGGGCCCGTCAGGGAGGTCCCAGCCAGGCCTTGGTCAGAGAACTCCATCACGGAGACGAAGGACCGGTGGACTAGCCAGGCCCTGGGGAGATGTGGAGTGCCTGTCCCTGGGAGAGCGCCAGGACCGGTGGACTAGCCAGGCACTGGGAGATGTGGAGTGCCTGTCCCTGGGAGAGCGCTAGGACCGGTGGACTAGCCAGGCCCTGGGGGAGATGTGGAGTGCCTGTCCCTGGGAGAGCGCCAGAACCGGTGGACTAGCTAGGCACTGGGGAGATGTGGAGTGCCTGTCCCTGGGAGAGCACTAGGACCGGTGGACTAGCCAGGCATGGGGAGAAGTGTGGAGTGCCTGTCCCTGGGAGAGCACTAGGACCGGTGGACTAGCCAGGCCCTGGGGGAGATGTGGAGTGCCTGTCCCTGGGAGAGCACTAGGACCGGTGGACTAGCCAGGCCCTGGGGGAGATGTGGAGTGCCTGTCCCTGGGAGAGCACTAGGACCGGTGGACTAGCCAGGCATGGGGAGAAGTGTGGAGTGCCTGTCCCTGGGAGAGCACTAGGACCGGTGGACTAGCCAGGCCCTGGGGGAGATGTGGAGTGCCTGTCCCTGGGAGAGCCTCCATCCGGGGCAGCTCTGGAGCCAGGGTCAGACAGGAGGGCATACCGGGGACTGAGGAAATGGTAAGATAATTACCTGACCGCTGGCAACGCCAAGGCACGCTTGGGGATGAAGTGTGTGACGTCATCGTACTTAAAAAGTCTGGAATGACAGAGAAAATATGATACCTTTTCCAGATAACTGTCTCGTTGGCTTTAAATTGGAGTCTGTTTTCTCTGTCAAAGATCTGGATACAGCAGGAATACATACTGAGCGTCTTATCTGAAAATGCAGCTGAGTGTTGTTTAAAATAAAGAATTTCCCTGTGTTTCCAGACTTCTCAGATTCCTGTATAGTGTCAGAAAAACAGACTTTAATTAGATATGAATATATTTTTTAAAGATTTTTTTTTATTTACTTACTTGAAAAAATTACAGAGGGGAGAGGGAGAGAGAGAGAGGTCTTCCATCTTCTGGTTCATTCCCGAAATGGACACATGGCTAGAGCTGGGCGGATCCAAAGCCAGGAGCTTTTTCCAGGTCTCCCACGTAGGTGCAGGGGCCCAAGCACTTGGGCCATCTTCCACGGCTTTCCCAGGCTCATTAGCAGGGAGTGGGATCAGAAGTGGAGCAGCCAGAACGTGAACTGGCACCCATATGGGATGCTGGCGCTGCAGATGGTGGCTTACCTGGTGTGCCCCAGAGCCAGCCCCCAGGTACAAATATTTTTTTAAAAAAGAATACCCTGGGCTGTAAGGATTCACATCCCCAGTGCGTGCACGTCTCGCTTCACCACTGCCACCCGAGAAGAGGCCCCATGGCGAGCACCACGGCCGCTGCCCAGCTGGTCTCTGCTCCGTGCGCTGTGGTGGCCCAGGTCTCCATGCAGCAGCCGTTGGTCTGCCCAGCTGGTCTCTGCTCCATGCGCTGTGGTGGCCCAGGTCTCCATGCAGCAGCTGTTGGTCTGTAAAATGGGAACTTGGCTGCGTCCCTCTGCAGCTCAGGCTCTGCACCAGTAGCTCAGTCTGCCGGGGCTGCTCCAGCCGCGTTTCCTCTCCCGGCACACTTCATTCAAGTCTGCTCAGGTGCGCACGCTGACCTGTCTGATGGAGCGTGGCTTCCACCCCGCCCTGGCCTCTTTCCACCCCGCCCCCCTTCTCCTTAGCATGTGCCTGTTTGTTTCCGTCTCTCCTCCCCCTGGAATGTAAGCCCCCGGGAGCAAATCGTCTTTCTTTCCTGGCTTATGGTTTGTGCACAGGAAAAGCCTGGGAGAATTAAGGAACGAATGGCTGACCTCGCCATTGGAACCTTGCGAGGGAGGCCTGCAGAGTGAGGCTCAGTGGCTCCTGGCTTCTGGTCGATTCAGCCAGCCCTCCCTGTGGTGGAAGAACTAGGCCAGGCGTTGTCAGGGATTCAGTGGCCAGCGTCTTTAAAGGAGAATGTGGTGAAGAAGTCTGGGGAAGAAGCAGGTCATTGGGGACTTGGGAAGCGTCTCTCGCTGGCCACGTCCATGTTCAGCGTGCAGAGGGATTCACTGTAGGGCGGCAGGGCTGGCCCCGACCCCAGGGCGGGCTGTAAAGTCTCCTGTTGTTGTTTGCAGGTACTGTGTGGTTTTGCTGACCACCGAGGCCACCAAGCAGAGCAAGCCGTTTGATGCTTTCCTGTCTTTTGCCCTGGCAAACACGCAAGACACGGTGCGGTTCGTGCACGTCTACAGCAGTCGGCAGCAGGAGTTTGCCAGCACCTTGCTACCAGACAGCGAGAAGTTCCAAGGGAAATCAGCGGTGAGCCACGAGTTCTGTCCGGGTCCCGGGCACTGCACAGGCACACGGCACTGAGTCTTTGCTCCTTCCTGGAGTGTCGAACATAGACATCAGGACATCTGGAAGCCTCTGAGGCCTGCTGTGCAAACCTGCTCTTAGAACGTCTTTCCTCTGGTTACTTCACATCCTGCATGTCTGCCCTGGCCCCACACAGAGCATCTGCCTTGGGAGCAAAGGCCGAAGTGCACCCCTGCTTTTCACCGGTGCCTCGTGCGGGCAGGTCTGGCCTGGCAGGAGCTGAGATCTGGGATGGCCCAGGTCTTCTGTGGGCCACCGGTGACCGTGGGAAAGTTTTCCTTCCCTCTCTCACTTCCCCTCATTGACTCCTCCCTCATCATTCCCTGCAGAAGCTTGAAATTCTGTCCCTTTGGTTTTCATCATTTTGGTAATCATAGAAAATCTCTCTAAAGATATGGAAATATCTTTATTTAAGAGTTACTGGGAGAGAGAAATAGAGAAAGAGGTCTTCCATCCACTGTTTCACTCCCCAGTGGCTGCAGCAGCCAGGGCTGTGCCTGGCTGAAGCCAAGAGCCTAGAACTCCGTCCTGGGTCTCCCATGTTGGTGGCAGGGGCCTAAGCACTTGATCCATCTTCTCTTGCTTTCCTGGGCACATTAACAGGAAGCTGGATCAGAAGTGGAGCAGCCAGGAATTGAACTGGTGCCCATATGGGATGGGATGCTGTTGTCTTAAGCATCCTGTGGCTTAAGCCACTAAACACAGCACTGGCTCCTGGAAGTCTCTCTATGATAATATCAAGTCAGAGAATGAAGTCTCTGGAGAAGAAAAGAGCTTTGACTTTCAACAGAAGCTTTAGAAAGTCATCATGGGGCTGGCGCCGTGGCGCAGTAGGTTAATCCTCTGCCTGCTGTGCCGGCATCCCATATGGGCACCGGTTCTAGTCCCAGCTGGTCCACTTCCAATCCAGCTCTCAGCTGTGGCCAGGGAAAGCAGTAGAAGATGGCCCAAGTCCTTGGGCCCCTGCACCCGCATGGGAGACCGGAAAGAAGCTCCTGGCTCCTGGCTTCGGATCGGTGCAGCTCCAGCCATTGTGGCCACCTGGGGAATGAACCAATGGAGGGAAGACCTTTCTCTCTGTTTCTGTCTCTCCCTCTCACTGTCTGTAACTCTACCTCTCAAATAAATAAAATCTCTTTTTTTTAATTTTTTAAAGATTTATTTTTATTTATTTGAAAGACAGAGTTCACTCGTTCACTCCCCAGATGGCCGCAATGGCCAGAGCAGCACCAATCTGAAGCCAGAAGCCTCTTCCAGGTCTCCCACGTGGGTGCAGGGGCCCAAGGACTTGGGCCATCTTCTACTGCTTTCCCAGGCCATAGCAGAGAGCTGGATCAGAAGAGGAGCAGCCAGGACTAGAACTGGCGCCCATACGGGATGCCGGCGCTTCAGGCCAGGGCTTTAACCCACTGTGCCACAGCGCCGGCCCCAGTAAATATAATCTAAAAAAAAAGTCACCGTAGGAGTCATTTCTTTGGTCAGAAGGATTTCAGTGTCTTGCACATCTTTCCGCCTCATCAGTATTTGTGTGTGAGATTATGGCTGACTTCACAAGACCCTCTCTTCCATCTTCACGCCAACTTACCAGGCTGTTGACACTGCTGACGCTGTCCTCTCCCTCCCTCCCAGGTGTCTATCCTAGAAAGACGCAACACCGCGGGGAGGGTGGTCTACAAAACCCTGGAAGACCCCTGGACTGGCAGTGAGAGTGACCAGTTCACCCTCCTGGGCTATCTCGACCAGCTGCGGAGAGATCCGGCCCTTCTGTCCTCGGAAGCTGTGCTCCCCGACCTGACCGACGAACTTGCCCCTGTGAGCCTGCGGGCCGGGAGGGGTGGGCACAGCAGGGCCCGGGCTCAGCCGCAGCGCTGCAGGGGGCGAGGGTCCCTCTGGGTTCAGCCCTGACTGTCATCCGTTCTCCGTCTCCACAGGTTTTCCTCCTGCGGTGGTTCTACTCTGCTTGGGACTACATCGCGGACTGCTGGGACAGCATACTGCACAACAACTGGTAGGAAGCCGGCCGCGCCAGGTCTTTCTGCTAGTGCCGTCAGCACTGTTTCCTCCCGAGAGCCGTCCATCCTTCCTCCCGTGGACGTGTGATGCGGGCAGTGGAAGGACGCGTGTCTGTTTCCAACAGCTCTCGCCCTTTTTCTCCCAGGGGAAAGTACCCCCTGGCAGAGGCCAGCCATGGAGTTGTGTGCAGGTGCACAGAGAGATCCATGAGCAGCCAGAGGGAGGTGTCCCACTCCCGCCCCCAGTAAGACCCCAAGCCCCAGGAGGACAGAGCCACCTCCCATTCCAGCCTGCGATTCCTGGCGCCCAGCGCAGGACCTGAAAATGGCACGCCTTTGATGGCCGCGTGAGTGAGCAAGATTCTGGAATGCCAGTCCCAGAGGAAATCTTGAAAGGCTGTTTCTGTGCCTAGTCCACTCCTGGGGACCACGTCTGAATTATTCTGGCCAGGAAAGAAATTTTCAGAAAATGAGGAAATCATTCCACGGACTTTTTATCCCTCGCGCGTCAGCATCACAAAATCCTCCCGTGTGTAGAGTGCGGATCCTTCGCTGTCCGTCTTGTGTCTGCTCGTGCAGAATTGAGGACGGCCTGTCCCTCAGACTCTGAGAGCGAGCTGTCTGTGAATTAGAGTTGGAGGAAACGGGCTCTTCCTTCCCTCCCCAGCACCCATTTCCCACCTAGAGGGCGTGCTTGGGTGAAACCAGGGCGTGTGCATGGGTGTGAAAGCTTTCTGGATTGCGTTTGTTGCTGTGTTTTTCCCGCTTTGAGCCGGGGAGACAGAGCCCGCTGAGCTGACCGTGTCTGTCGCCGCGGTTGCAGGCGGGAAATGATGCCCCTCCTGTCCCTCATCTTCTCGGCCCTCTTCATCCTCTTCGGCACGGTCATCGTCCAGGCCTTCAGGTAAACACCCAGGCCCCTCAGCGCCACGCTGCAGGCCGCGTCCCCGCCCTCCGTGGCGTCCGTAGTCCTGAGAGATCCTCTGTCCTTGCCTAGTGACTCCAGCGACGAGCGAGAGTCCAGCCCTCCTGAGAAGGAGGAGGCCCAGGAGAAGGCGGGGAAGACGGAGCCCAGCTTCACCAAAGAGAGCAGCAGGTTGCTTTACTTCTCTCTCTTTTTTTTTTTTTAAGATTTATTTATGTGTTTGAAAGACAGAGTTACAGCAAGAGCTCCCCACATCAGCTGGGGCTGGGCCAGGCCGAAGCCAGGAGCCTGGAACTCCATCCAGGTCTCCTGCATGGGCGACAGGGCCCAAGCATGTGGGCCACCTTCCGCTGCTTTCCCAGGCACCTTAGCAGGGAGCTGGATCAGAGGTGGAGCTGCCGGAATCTTAAACCTGCACGCACATGGGATGCCGGCCCCAGCAGCAGGTTCCACTGACAGCGCCCCCTGCTTGCCTGCCCGCCGCCGCACACAGCACGGCGTGCACAGGAGCTGAGCTACAGCGCCGGCCCCGGAAGATAGATTTATTTATTTATTTGAAAGGCAGAGTTAGAGAGAGATCTTCCATCTCTTGCTTCACTCCCCAAATGGCCACCAACAGCCGGAGCTGCGCTGATCCAAAGCCAGGAGCCAGGAGCTTCCTCCAAGTCTCTAATGTGGGTGCAGGGGCCGAAGGACTTGGGGCATCTTCCACTGCTTTCTCAGGTGCAATAGCAGGGAGCTGGACCGGAAGTGGGGCAGTCGGAACTTGAACCTGCACCCATATGGGGTGCCAGCCCCCCATCCCACACAGTTTGTACAAGGGACGTTCTGCCCCTGCAGGGAAAAGAAGCTGCTCACAGGGCTTCAGAGGCCCTCCGAGCATTTGGGTACTTCCTTAGACTGTGACTTTGGGTCTCCAGCCTCCAGTGTCACGGTGAAGCCGGAAGCAAAGCAGCACATCAGGGGGAGGCAGACGAGCAGTGGCAGAGGGGTGTGTGCAGTAACCCTCCGTGACCGGGTCCGTCGCGGACGCGCACCCTGCAGCAGGGGGCTGGGGTCTCAGAACAGTCTGCAGGGCATCGCCTTCTCCTGTCCTGAAGAACTTCCACCGCAGTAAAAAGCAACATTAGAAAGGCTGGGAGCGGCCAGCACCATAGCTCACTAGGCTAATCCTCCGCCTGCGGCGCCGGCACACCGGGTTCTAGTCCTGGTCGGGGCGCCAGATTCTGTCCCAGTTGCCCCTCTTCCAGGCCAGCTCTCTGCTGTGGCCCGGGAGTGCAGTGGAGGATGGCCCAAGTGCTTGGGCCCTGCACCCCATGGGAGACCAGGAGAAGCACCTGGCTCCTGGCTTCGGATCGGCGCAGCGCGCCAGCCATTGCAGTCACTTTGGGGGTGAACCAATGGAAGAAAGACCTTTCTCTCTGTCTCTCTCACTGTCTAACTCTGCCTGTCAAAAAAAAAAAAAACCCGGCTGGAAGCAGCTGCGTGTCCTAGAGGTTGAGACCACGCCCCAGAGGGAAGTCCTGCACCCCATGCCCGGCTCCGCTCCTGACTCCCTGGGAGGCAGCCGTGACGGCTCCATTGATTGGGCTCTTGCCACCCACACGGGAGACCAGGATTCAGTTCCCGGCTTCAGCCACGCCCAATCCAAGCCATTGCAGACTTAGAGAGTGAATAGAGGCTCACTCTGCTCTCTCTCTGCCTCTCAGTTAACTCACCAGTTTTTGAAAGGCTGTCTGTAGGCCGAGGACTAGCAAGTCGGGGCGTCCCTCCCCACCATGTTTACGCTCAGTGGTATTAAATGGCATCAGGCAGTCTGGCCAGAACACAGCCTCTCCTGCACGTGTTCCCCTGGCCTGGCCATGTCTCAGCTCCTCCAAATTTCTCCGCAGCAAGATCCCTAAAAAAGGCTTTGTGGAGGTAACAGAACTCACAGATGTGACGTACACCAGCAACCTGGTGCGCCTGAGGCCAGGCCACATGAACGTGGTCCTCATCCTGTCCAATTCCACCAAGACCAGCCTGCTGCAAAAGTTTGCGTTGGAGGTCTACTCGTTCACTGGGTAAGCGTGCATGCGTGCGCGTGTACATGGTGGTGGGGGGTGCCCAGAGGAGTATTGTGCCCTTTCCTCTGGCCATGCTGGGGGGGTGTCAGCCGTGCCCCTCGCAGCCTGGACGTCTGAGCGTCACGAGGGCCCCCTTTCCCCCTGACCTCCTGTTCTGTGGTTCTGAACAGAAGAGCTTGGACTCGGAGTTGTTCCCGAGCCCTTTCGGGAACTGACTGCTCTGCAGCCTGGCGCGTCTCCTGGAAGGCAGACCCTGAGCGGGGCCTGAGCGGGGCCTGAGCGGGGCCGGAGCCAGGGCCGGAGCGGGGCCGGAGCGGGGCCGGAGCGGGGCCGGAGCCGGGGCCGGAGCGGGGCCGGAGCCGGGGCCGGAGCGGGGCCTGAGCGAGGCCGAAGCGGGGCCGGAGCGAGGCCGGAGCGGGGCCGGAGCAGGGCCGGAGCCAGACCCTGAGCGGGGACTGAGCGGGGCCGGAGCCGGGGCCGGAGCCAGACCCTGAGCGGGGCCGGAGCGGGGCCGGAGCGAGGCCGGAGCCAGGGCCGGAGCGGGGCCGGAGCAGGGCCGGAGCGGGGCCAGAGCCAGGGCCGGTCCGCGGGTGAAGGGTACAGCTGCTGCAGGTGCCCTCCAGCTCCCACAGACGCTCCAGGGCCCAGCCCGCACGCAGCCGCCTCCGGTTCGAGTAGGAAATACCAGGACTGGGAAGCTGCATCCGTGTGGCTGAACGCGTCGGGAACCCTGACTGCTCGCTCTGCTCTCTCTCCAGGAGCAGCTGCCTGCACTTCTCCTTCCTGAGCCTCGACAAGCACAGGGAGTGGCTGGAGTACCTGCTGGAGTTTGCTCAGGACGCAGCCCCCATCCCGAACCAGTACGATAAGCACTTCATGGAGCGGGACTACACTGGTTACGTGCTGGCTTTGAACGGCCACAAGAAGTACTTCTGCCTCTTCAAGCCCCAAAAGACAGCTGAGGAGGAGGCGGCCCTGGGCTCCTGCGGCGACCCCGACCCTCCCCTGCACCTGGGGGAATCGCGAGGGAAGTCCTCCTGTGGCCTTGGACCCAAGCCCGCCAGGGGGAAGCTGAGCAGGCTGTCCCTGTGGATGGAGCGGCTGCTGGAGGGCTCTCTGCAGAGGTTCTACATCCCGTCCTGGCCCCAGCTGGACTGAGCGTTTCCAAAGGCAGCCGGACTCTGGACCTCGTCAGAGGCGCCTGCGCACAGGTATTTTCAGGACTCAGACTGTCACACGAGCAGAGTAGAGGTTTAGATTACCCTCCCAGGACAAAGGCCAGAGGCCCCTTCCCGTGTCCTGTTCTAACCTAGGAGTGAAAAACACCGCAGTTCGAATTCCCTGGAGCAAAACACTTCCCTTGGGTTTTTTCCTCTCATTTGAATGCCGCGCTGTTTAAAACAGACTGCTGTTCGCTCTTTCGTTGTCCCTGTCACGCGCTCACACCACCCTCCCCCGTCCTGTCGCTCTTGGCTGCGGGACTCAGCACTGGGCCTGTGCCATGGGTGCCTGGACTCAGCCTCAGAGCCTGCTGTGCACCGCGGGCTCGCTTACCCCTCCCCCCCTCCCCCCCAGGCCCCCAGCCCCCCACCCCACCCCCGCTGTGCTCCTGCGTGGCGCATGCTCTAACACTGGACAGCCCACAGCAGCTTCTAGGCCCTGACCTTGGAAGGGACCCATTTCCAAGCAGTCTCACACTTAGTGATGGTTGTTCTGGGCATAAGTGGCAAACGGTGTATTTTGGGGGTATCCCCCGTGACCATCTGTCGGCCGCGTAGGAGTGGAGGTTCTGCGTGAGTTTGGTTTTCCTCCCAAGGAAGCGGAAGGGGAGAGGCAGGCAGTGACTGAAGTGACGCAGCTCTGTGATCCTCCGAGCAGCCCCTGGGCCCCGGCCCCCCGCCCCGCAGCTGTGCCCGGGCCCGAGTGCTGTACTGACGCTGAGCCGTTGACATGTGTGTCTTCAGATGCCTTTGTGCCTCTGTCAGTTTGGGGTACGGATATTAGGAGCCATAATTCGTAATCACATGTCTGAGCGCAGGGATGACCGGCTGTGCCCACCTGCCAGGAGCGGGGCGACAGCCTCTTCCCTGAGCGGGGGCCGTGCAGCAAACACCAGACCCGTCTTAGAGTCGAGTCTTCAAACCCCTCAACACTTGTATTCTGAACACTGCTACCCCAGAAGTGCCGTCTCCTCAAGTCGTCTTTGTGACCAGTGAGCCAAGACTTGTTCTAGACCTCTCCAAAGGCTTCCCGCCTCTGGCCTTGATGTTGACGTCTCCTCTTCTTCGTTTTCACTCTTCAGACTGCACCGGCAGTGTCAGGGCCGGACCGATCGCGCACCCCCTGGCGCGGACTGCAGGTTGGTCCCGGCAGTCAAAGCGTGCGTGTGCCTGTTTGTCGCAGGGCGTGGGGACGGCCTTGGAGAGGGGCTGTTCAGGTCCCAAAGCAGAGTGCCCCTGTGAGAAGCGGAGGGCAAACGCAGCGCTAGGACACTGACTTAGTTCCTATTCCTTTCGTCATAATTGCTTTAACCTATGCCACTTGGATCCTGAATAATTTAATATTGAGCTACGGTGGTTAAGTAATAAATTATTCGAGCCCAGGAATTCCTATAGTTTCCATGGAGTCTGTAGCTTTATTTAAAAATAAAGAGGTCACTGCCAGGCTTCCTCCTTCCATGAGGTTCTCCAAAGTGGACGCTTGCGGGAACCGCCGTGGCCCAGTCCGGAACCCCTGGAAGCGCCCGGCTTCAGAGCCACTTCCTGGGTCTCCTGGCACCAGACTGCTTCTCCAAGTAGTGTTTTGGTTGCGTGGTAGGCTTTTGTTTTTAATGTCTGGTACTAGTGAAATTCCTGACTGAACCCCAAAAACCTAAAACTCCCCCAGATGAGCTCCTTTTTCAAGGTCTTGGTTATTAGAATGAAAAGCGCCTCGGGACAGCCACGCCTCCCGCTGCGGTAGGAGAGGCCAGCGGCGCTGCACTGACGATGTGCCTGGCAAACACATCCGGTCAGAAATTCTTCCGCAGATGTCGGGGGAGGGGGAGGCTGGCAGCCATGTCCCCCAAGGGGACTCCTGCGAGCTTTTATTTAAATTGAACTTCACCCTTGGCCATCGGCGCCCTTCCTCCCGGAATGTCTTCCATGAAATTTGCTCACCTTTGTGTCAAACCTATGAGCCACTGTCGCGCTGGGCCAGTGCCACCCCACCGTCTCCCTCTCTCAGGTTTGTGGTCACACGTGGGACCTGAACTGGGTTTTAGGTCAACTGCCTGGTCGTCGAGTAGCCACGTGGGCGGGGATCTCCGGCTGCCACACACTATGCATCCTGTTTAGCAGACGCGTGAAAACTGGCCCAAAACAAGGCCTTGTAGAATACACGCCCATTTTGAAAGTCATTTTTTTTATTGCTCAGGTATTGGTTGCACACCTTGTCTACCGCAGAGGTGGTGGGCTCCAACCAAGCACCCGGGTGAGCAGGTCCGGCCTGACTCCGCCGGGTGCCCCGCTCCCCGGGAGAGCTGGGCGTGGGTCCCGCCCAGGTCGGCGTCCCCCTCACGGGCAGCCCCCCCACACGTGCACCTTCTGTCGCCGTCCTGACCCCCGTGCAGCTGCCGTCAGTACGGAAACCCTGCCCCGATACAAATAAAAAGAAATGGGGTCTGACCATGTTTGCAGTGATTCGCTTTGTTTGGGGCCAGCTCGGAACCTTCCTTCGTGACAGTGACTGCACTCACAGAGGAAATGTCCACGTCCTGCCCTGGCCTCGCTCCTCGAAAGCAGGTGCAGGTGGCAGCTGCTGCCTCTGTCCCTTCAGTGTGGAGGAGGCCGATCGTGTGGGAGGCCGGTCCGAGAAGTGGGGGACTCTTTTGCACTTTTGATACTCTTAGGAACAAATAACTAACTTCGCAAACTGTGTCTTTTTATGTTTTGGGTTTTTTTTGTTTGTACTGTGAACACGCACTGACGCTGATGTCGTTTTGTCTTAAGACTATTACAGACTGGAAACAAATAAACTGTTTTACCGTGTGATGATTGCGGGGTAGCCCTTGCATTGCAGGATGATGACCTGACCGTGGATGCGTTTCCAGCAGAGTGGAATCTGTATCTCACCACGTGGCTTCCCTGCAGACCCGGGAGCTGCTGTGCTGGCGTGGCGGGGGGGTGGGCGCGAGGAGTGGGTGACACACCAAGGAGACTTCAGCAGGGGCTCAGCCGACCTGGTCACTTTGGAAGGCATTGGTGCTCTGTCCTCCCATGTGTTAGGATCCATGTGTTACTTTCTTCCAGTTTTTTAATCTACAGTGGAGCCAGCACTCAAAACTTAGGCACTCCCATATTGGATGTGGGTGTCCTGAGAATATATTACTGTGTGTGTTTTGTTTTGTTTTGTTTTGTTTTTGAAAAAAGATGGATTAATTTGAAAGGCAGAGTAGTAGAGAGAGCAAAGAAGACACAAACAGGTCTTCCATCTGCTGGTTCACTCCCCAAACAGCTGCGATGGCTATGGCTGGTCCAGGCCAAAGTCAGGAGTTGGGAACTCCATCCGGGTCTCCCACAAGGGCGCCAGGAGTCCAAGTAGTTGGACCATCTGCTACTGCTTTCCCAGGTGCGTTAGCAGGGAGCTGTATCTGACGCAGGGTAGCCGGGACTTGAACCTGGACTCCCGTATGGGTTGTGGGAGGGGCCGGAGCTGTGGCCTGGCAGGTTAAGCCGCCATCTGCAGCTCCAGCATCTCGTCTGGGCGCCAATTCGAGCCCTGGCTTCTCCACTTCCCATCCTGCTCCCTGCTAATGCGCCTGGGAAAGCAGCAGAGGAGGCCCAAGTGCTGGGCCCATGCACCCACGCAGGAGACCCACAAGAAGCTCCTGGTGCCTGGCTGAGGTCTGGCCTAGCTCCGGCCATCGCGGCCATTTGGGGAGTGAATGAGTGGATGGAAGACCTCTCTCTCTAACTCTTCCTTTCAAACAAAATAAAGAAAAATCTTTTAAGGGGGGAAGGCTTAACCCACGATGCCAGCTCCTCAAATCTATTTATGTTCACAAGAGCCTGAAAACCGAGCTGAGCCCTCAGCTCCTAGAGGAGCAGCTGTATTATAAAGGAAGAAGCGACAGAAGTGTAGAATTTCATGGGTTTCTCCTTTACTTCAATCCTCCAGTTTTCAGACAATCTTGAGTGAGTTTCTCCATTCCCCTTCCCCTTCCCCTTCCCCTTCCCCTTCCCCTTCCCCTCTCGGGTCTTTGTTCAGAGCAGAAAAACAGCAGGAAAGCGGCCTCTGTCTCTAAATCAGTTGCGACTCTGGACACGCGAGCCGCCCGGTTCGAGTTCTGCCGAACGTCTTGATCGTGCCACGGCCGCCGCCGTAAACTCGGGCTGCTCGCTCGTAAATTGTTGGGGACTTGTCAGCCGTGCGAGACTCAGACGGCTGTCACTTTGGGGAGGGCACACAGCATCTCAAACAGCAGGTTGGCCGCCAGGAGCGCTGTGTTTCCTACAAAGACAAAACAGGCCGGCCTGCAGCATCAGTCCCCAGCCCCTGCCCTGCGTGCTGCCTCTTCCTGAGCCCCGGCTCCCGTTCCCTTCCCTGGGATGCCCAACCCCCGTGAGCCTGCTTTCCCTGGCATTCCGCCTCCAACGAGCACATCTGGGAGGAACCGTTTAGAATTCAGAAGTGGGGGGGAGTTTGGCTCAGTAATTAAGATGCTACTTGGGGGGCCTGCAGTGCCAGCATCCCACATGGCCGCTGGTTGGAGTCCCGGCTGCTCCGCTTCTGATCCGGCTCCAGGCTAATGCACCTGGGAAAGCAGCCGAAGATGGCCCAAGTGCTGGGGCCCCTGCACCCACATGGGAGACCTGGACAGAGTTCCAGGCTCCTGACTTCAGCCTGGCCCAGACCTGGCTATTGTGGTCATTTGTAGAGTGAACCATCAGATGGAAGATCTGTCTCTGTCTCTCTCTATTTGTCACCCTGCCTTTCAAATAAATCTTTAAATAATAAGGATAGGGACTATGCTAATTACCCTCGGTGGCTAGTAGGCCTAACTGTAAGCTTTTCTAATCAAAATGAATGGGGTGGCATCTGCTTTCAGAATCTGAGCCAGCTCTCTATAAATAATACATAGGCCCTGAGAATTCCCTTCCCAGTGAAACAGCAGAGGAGAACGGATCGGTGGCTGTCTCCACGCTGCATTTGGCTGCCCCCCTCCCCCCTGGAGGGGAAGCGCCCACACACCGCTGCCTCCCAGGGGTTCGCTCGGGGTTAATTAGCTCACATTCCAGACGCACAGTGCCCCGTTTCCTTTCTTCACTGTGGGACGCCCTCAGCGGGCTCCCCGAGTTGCAGAAGGCGACCTGTCCATCTTCTCCATAATAAGGAGATCAAGAGAATTTGCACAGAGCCACCTGTGGCGCTCACTCACCAGAAAGGTCGTAGGGCGGGGACACCTCCACCAGGTCACAGCCCACCATGTTCAGGCCTTGGCAGCCCCGGATGATCTCCAGAGCCTGTCGAGATCAAGACCCAGTGTCCACGGCGGGAGCCCCCCGGCAGCAGCCCCAGGGATACCCCCAACGCACAGCCACCCCGGGCCAAGGAACCCTTGCTTTCCCTCATCAACCATGTATCAACCATGTATGCCAGCCCCGCCCCTGGGCCGCCTCCCACAACAGGCGTGACCGCTCCTGAGGGCCTCGTGGCACAGACAGAGACAAATCAATGCCAAACGTGAAGCCTTCAAGAAAAGCCAAGGGTCTGGCACTGTGGCTTAGCAGGTAAAGCCACCGCCTGCAGTGCCATTAAACCGTATGGGCACCGGTTCAAGTCTACTTCAGTGGCTGCTCCACTTCTGATCCAGCTCCCTGCTGTGGCCTGGGAAAGCAGTAGAAGATGGCCCAAGTCCTTGAGCCCCTGCACCCGCGTGGGAGACCTGGAAGAAGCTCCTGACTCCTGGCTTTGGAATGGCCCAGCTCCAGTCATGCAGCCATTTGGAGAGTGAACCAGAGGACGGAGGACCTCTCCCTCTCTCTCTGCCTCTTAAATAAACAAATAAATCTTTACCAAAAAAAAAATAATAATAAAAAATAAATAAAGAAAAACAACCTAGCCCTAAGAAGGAGGACTGTGGTGTTCCAAGAGTATTCCAAGAGTATTACAAGATTGTACCCCCAGGGCCGGCACTGTGGCGCAGTGGGTTAACACCCTGGCCTGAAGCGCTGGCATCCCATATGGGTGCCGGTTAGAGACCCAGCTGCTCCACTTCTGATCCAGCTCTCTGCTATGGCCTGGGAAAGCAGTAGAAGATGGCCCAGGTCCTTGGGCCCCTGCGCCCATGTGAGAGACCTGGAAGAAGCTCCTGGCTCCTGGCTCCAGATTGGCACAGCCTCAGCCGTTGCGGCCAACTGGGGAGAGAACCAGTGTTGGAAGACCTCTCTCTCTCTCTCTCTCTCTCTCTCTCTCTCTCTCTCGTAACTCTGACTTTCAAATACATAATAAATAAATCTTAAAAAAAAAAAAAAAATCCCCAAGCACTGACTGCAGATGTCCCAGAGGTGGGAAGACCAAGCAGAGGAGTAGTGTATCCTAGGGACGCACGGAGGGCCCTCGCCCAACGCCGGCCTCCTCGTGAGCCATCTCCAGGCCTACACTCAGCCTAGGGGCTCTGCTTGTAAATCCTGCCCTGGCTTCTGGGGCCTCAGCTGATGTTGCAGGAGACGGGGGTGTTAGGTGTCGCCCACCCCGGCCCCAGAGTCCTCCCCAGGGGCCTCCTTACCTGGCTGGGGGTGAGGCCCGCAATCTCCGGCGTCCCCGTCCCTGGGGCGTAGGCGGGATCCAAGGCATCGATGTCGAAGCTGAGGTACATGGGTTTGCCGCCCATCTGCTGCCTGACCTCGGCCATCAGAGGGACCAGCGACTTCATCCAGCAGTCTTCAGCCAGGACGACCCGGAAGCCCTGAGGAGGCGGGGGGGGGTGAGGCGCTGCAGGGGGAGGCCACGGGAAGGCATCCACCACAGCCAGCCCGCAGGTGAGGAGGGGAGGGACGCAGAGGGAAGAGGGGGCAGGGGCAGAGCCGACCCTCGGAGCAGGGATCAGAGAGAAGCTTTGCCGACGCTGCACGGAGAAACCCGCGGCTCCTGCCAGCCCCTTGTGGACGGCTCTGTCCAAAAGACTGGCCTCGCTCAGCACGGTCTAAAAGCAAGGGATTTTCCACTGGGGTCTCAGCCTGTGTGTTTGCCTGAGAGCCACCTGCTAGTGGCTATGAGGAGGAGGAAGTAGCAGCTCCCGGGGAGCGGGGCACCGCTCTCTGCTCGTCTCCGTGTCCCAGCCTCCTCGCTCCTGGCTCCACACGACCCTCTTGCTGCAAGCTCAGCCTCTCGCCCCCACTTTCTGCTCTTGGGGGCCAGGGCAGGGGGCGGGGGCTCGGTGTATCACCTGGCTCCGGTTGTATCTGTAGGGATCCAAGGTCATGGCCGAGCCCCGGATGCCGATCTGCACCACGCGCTTGCAGTCCAGGAGCCCCTCGTCCACACACCGGCGAAACGGCGTCCCGTGGTACAGCTTCTCCCCCAGGGCCTTGTCAGCCGTGTCTGTGTGAGCGTCCACGTGCAGCAGCCCCACGGGGCCATGCCTGATGACCACAGCGGAGCTCAGAGACCAAACCAACCCACAGGGCCCTAGCACAACAGACGTGAGCTCGGCTAAAGGCTGAACCAGGAACCCGAGCCTCTCCTCCAGCCGTGGCACCAGGAGGCAGCTCTGACCCAGCTACCTCACCACAGACTCCACCAAGCCCTGGCGGCCATGCAGCGTGAACATCTACAGCACACCACCAGAGGCCAGCACACAGCTTTGAGACAGGACCTGTGTCCACGCGACTCCAGCCAGCTCGTCTCTTTCCCACAGACAACTCCTGGAGCTGCCTCCCTCCACCTCGGCCCTTCTACCTCTTTCTTGGATGAAAGTAGCCAGAGTTGTGCCACCTGCAGCAGACTTCCGCCACTACAAAGTCAGTCTGCTCACTGTCTGGGGAAGGAG